CTCGGCCTCCCAGAGTGCTAGGATTACAGGCGTGAGCCACCGCGCCCGGCCAAGAGTTTAGTCTTACTGAAATGAATAATTGTGTCTCTTACAGCACCTGAATCAATGAAGAGTTATTTGGGAGCACCTCTCTATTCACATGATTAAGACCAACATCCTTAATGGACCCAACAGGCTGGCTGTCCCTGCTTCACTTTCCAGCCTCCTTTCACGCCACCTCCCAGGCAGAACTGCCACACTGCCCAGGCTCCTTTCAGTATCTCCAATTTACTTCCTTCTCCAACCTCCTGGCTTTTTGCATGTGCCATCCCCTATATGTGGAACTTTCTCATTCCTCTGATCCCTGCTTCCCTTTCCCCCACCCCTACTTCTTCACCTAGTTAACCACTATTCACCCTCTAGGTCTCTCCAAACATTACTTCCTTAGGAAAGTCTTCTCTGACCTCCCAGACTAAAGCTGCCTTTTTATACATTCCAAAGCACTAAGTATTTTTCTTTGATAGCACTTGTCACAGTTGTAAATTACACGTTTGTGTGATTACATGAATGAAACATTATGATTTGAGAAAATGCTATGAAGATAAATTATGTACTTAACTATTGACTCTCAAACTCAGAAACAGATATAATGGACAAAACCTTCACCTGGGGGAGGCTCAAAGAAGGCTTCCTGCTCCTCCTCGATGGGCTCAGTGTCATTGTGGGCTGTCCGTTTGTGCATGGCCAGCGTCGAGATCTGCTTGTATGTCTTCCCACAGTGGTTACAGTTGTATGGTTTGGAGTGAGTGTGGACAACATGATGTTTGTACAAACTGGAATATTCTGTAAACCTTTTGTCACACCCAGGAACTGTACAAACATATGGCTTTTCCCCTAAGAACAGCACCAAAAAAAAAAAAAGTCAGCTTTTACATATGCAGGCATAATCATCCCATACCTCTCCTCCAAGGGGGGAAAAGCCTCTAAAAATAAATAGTTGCCAAATCCCTTCTCATCCTACCACAAGGCAGCACACAGGAGCTACGGTTTTTACTTGGCTCAAGAGCTAGTCTACATCCTTAGTGCCTTTCCTGTGCATCAAGAACACTTTTCCCTTAATCTCAAGAATGAGAAAAGTGAGGACAGAGATATCGCCCAGTTTAACTTTAACTTTGATGAAACTGTAATTTATTGTTTCCTGTAACTAGATAATCCAGATATCATTAATGATACTATAATGACAATAATAAATGCAATTATTACTATACCTAATGTAGCTTATTCTAAGGGTTTTATAAAGATAACAAAAAAGGATTTTCTTAAAAAATCTATTAGACATAGTTGGATATGTCAACATATCTAAAAGGACATACATGCTCCATTTAAGTTAACCTGACTTCTTACATCCAATCAAAAGTTATTAAGTATTCACTAATAGCAAGAAGGCGATACAAAGGGAAGTAAATACTTTAATTCTTGTTCCATGAAATAATCTGAGAATAGTATAGGCAGTACATATATTTTTAGAACTTTTTATTATAGCAAATTTCAAACATACACACAAATATAGAGAAATAAACCTCCATGTACCAATTACCCAGGTTCAATTGTCAATTTATGGCCAATATTGTTTCTTTTATTTACTATATATTCCACCCCCTTTTTTTAAGCCAGTCAAATTTAGCAGTCCGGTTGAATACCTTACCCCTTCTTCTTCTTACCCAGGATTATTCTGAAACACTTTCAGCTAGCATTCCATTTCATTTGTAAATATATCAGACTGTATATCTGATGGATAGATTCTTTTAACAAATGTAAA